GCAATTCTTCCGTGCCGTCCTTCAACATTTCTGCTCGTAGGCCTTTGGTGTCTGGAGCCTTACCAAGCCGGAGCCCTCTAATCGCCTTTTCCAACTCTTCGCCAGTGAAGGGTGGAAGGTCGTCGCTGCGTCGCTCTCGTTGCGTCGGCTTGGCCGTTGTGTCGTATAGCTGCTCGTAAAACTCCGCGAATATGTCTGCAATTTCTTGCCGGGCCGTGCGTTTTGAGCCTCCTTTGTCTGTCATGTGAGTGATGAGATTCCGCTTTCTGCGTGTCTTGATGCGCGGGATACTTTTGAGGTCTCTGAACTGTTCGAGCACGCTTCCTATGTGGGCCCGTCGTGTCCGCCGCTTCTGCGCGCGGATCTCCTGCTGTATCAGTTTGCTCAGTTGTTTGCGGGTGCGGTGGTCGTTGTTTAGTGTCTGGTGTCGCTGTGCGATGAGAGGGCGTGGACGTTCTGCTCCTCTGTCTGGTTGTCGGTCTGGTCGTGGTGCTCCAGCGCTGCTCACGGCGGCGGCGTCGATGAGAACTTGCTGGATGTGCTCGTCCAGGGATTGTGGGTCGATTGGTAGTTCGTCTGGTTTCAGTCGTCGTCTTTGGTGGTCGTGGTAGACGTTCACATTGATGATCTTGCCGGTGGAAGCGTTGGGTGGTGCATGTCTGCGCTGCCGTTGGTCGTCGTCTCGTCGCTGTCGTTTGTTACCATTGCTTCTGGTATCTTCAACTCAGTGACGACAGCCTTGTGGTCGGATCCCAGGTCGGTCACGTTGTTGGCCTCGGCATTAGTGCAATGCTTGAAGAGCTTGCGGTTGAGCAAGATGTAGTCGAGCTGTTTCTGCTTGTCGCCGCTGATGTAAGTGATCTGCTTATGTATAGGCTTTCGGAAAAACGTATTGGCAAGCACAAGCCCTTCTTGGGCAGCCCAGTGTCGCAACCATGTACCCCTCGAGTTTTCGATTCCATATCCGTGGCGGCCGACACACCTGGAAGTGATGAGGTCGTCGTCGTCGCCATCTACTGATATACGGGATTCCCCAACCTGCGCGTTGAAGTCGCCAGCGAGTATAATATGACGTCGTGCTTTGGTGTTTTCTCTGTGAATCTCGTGGATCGCGTCGTACATGCGCTGAATGTGCGGGTCGCTGTACCCAGAGTGTGGAAATTATGCGGCCACCAATTGTAATTTCAACCGCCCTCTTTTCAACAGCATCGTGGCGAGTCTTGGCGAGTGGGCTTCAAATCTCTGTATGCTCTTTCCCCAACGCTTGTGTATAAGAATAGCAACTCCGTGGCACGCCTGGTCATTGCCAGATCCAGCAGACGTATGCCCTTCCACGGTTGTCCATAGTTCCGTCGTAGTCGTCCTCCATGTCTCGTTGATGAGCACAAAATCCCAATGGCAGTTGTCGAGTTCTGCGATGAGTTCGCTGACCCGGTCGTCTGTCGTAAGTGCCCGGGCATTTTTGTGAATAATCGTTATGAATATGTGCTGTTGGTGCTCGTCAGTGGTCGGTGTCATTTTCGTTGGTGCTGCTGGTTGGTCGTGGTCGGCGCTGGTCTGGATTGTTTGGTGTTGGCTTGTCGCTGCTAGTCGGCTGTCTTGTTGTTGGGTGAGTGTGGTCTGCGGTTGATTGGGTGTGTGTTGCTGGTGGTGCTGGTCTGGAGTCGGTTGCGTTGTTGTTTGCTCGTCGTTGTTGGTCAGAGCTGGATGGTGTGAACTTGCTGGTGTTAGTCGGTGCCACTGCTGGCGCTGGTGGTCGGTGCTGGTCGGTGGTGGTGGTTTGGTCAGGTGTTGCTGGTATTGTTGGTCGGTGGTCAGTGTTGTTGGTTGTGCTGGTTGGCTGAGGTCGAGGTTTGCTGTGTGTGGTTGCTCGTGGTAGTCGGTCGCTGCTGGTCGATGGTGCTGCTGCTGGTTGAGGCCTTCTCAGAAGGCGGCGGGACTTCTCAGAAGCCCTCGCGCCTTCTGAGAAGTGGTTTGTGTCTTCGGGAAAGGCGCAGGAACCTTCTCGGAAGGCCGCTGGACTGTGGAACCTTCTGACAAGGCCTTCTCCTTCTCACTTCCCCCCCTCGCTCGCCGCCGACAGGATTCTGACAACGTGAACCCCCGGAGTCCCGACCACCCCTCCCAGGGCTGGCTTACCATCCCGAGTCCGTATTCGCTGGCCCCGCGGCCTGGTAAAGGGCCCCAAGAAAAACCGCACGCCGTGATTTCTCTCTCGCAACAAGAGTCTCTGATTGATCCAAGAGGGGGTCCAGCGAAAAAGGGGTTGCGCAATAGATCTGGTGCAATAGATGTGTGGGGTTGCAGTAGAGTTGGGGTGCGCAATATGTTCCGATGCGGACAAACATCGCGCTACAGTTTTAGCGTGCACTACACTGGTTCAAATACGAGGCGATGCGAACCTCTGGCGCGATGCGTCTGCGACAACACACTTGCCCCAAACCTATGGCGCGAGCCCTTCTCAGCCGGACCCCTTTCGGGGATGGACAGAACCCCCTTTAGTAAAACGTGGTTTACTGAAAACGACCTCGGGCCCAAGCATGGCGGGCGCAAGCCTGGAAAATGACGGCCGCGGCGCCCACTCGAGAACCGAAAACGGACAATTCACTAATCGACGTGTCAGAGTGGGGGTTTTGTCCACCCCCGACCCTTTCTGGGTCACGAGGAGAGGAGGCGGGGGACGTCCGGCCACGCTCGAGAAGGCCCCTCGCGCCTCGCCGACGCCTGCGCCCGCACCCTCACGACCCGCCGAGGACCCCGTCGCCCGCGACGAGCCCACGCTGCCCTGCCAGACAGTCGGCGCCTGCGGCGAGGTGCATCGCCGATGCATTGGCGACGCGTTGCGAGCTTCCTACCTCATCAACTGCTCCTCATCCGCCTCCTCCTCCTCCTCGTCCTCCTCCTCATCGTCCTCGTCCTCCTCCTCATCCTCCTCCTCCTCCCCTCCTCCTCCTTACTCCTCCTCACCCACCTCCTCCTGCTCCTCCTCCTCCTCCTCCTCCTCCTCCTCCTCCTTACTCCTCCTCCTCTCCTCCTCCTCCCTCCTCCTCCTCTACCTCCCCCCCCTCCTCCTCCTCCCTCCTCCTCCTCCTCCCCCTCCTCCCCCTCCTCCCCCGCCCCTCCTCCTCCTCCTCCTCCTCCTCCTCTCCTCCTCCTCCTCCTCCTCCTCCTCCTCCTCCCCTCCTCTCCTCCTCCTCCTCCTCCTCCTCCTCCTCCTCCTCCTCCTCTCCTCCCCTCTCCTTCTCCCCTCTCCTCCTCCTCCTCCTCTCCTCCTCCTCCTCCTCCTCTCCCTCCTCCTCCTCCTCCTCCTCCTCCTCCCACCTCATCCTCCTCCTCCCTCTCCCACCACTCCTCCTCTCCTCCTCCTCCATCCTCCTCCTCCTCCTCCTCCTCCTCCTCTCTTACTCCTCCTCCTCCTCATCCTCCCTCATCTCCTCCTCCTCCTCTCTCCTCCTCCCCCCCCCTCCTCCTCCTCCTCCTCCTCCTCCTCCTCCTCCTCCTCCTCCTCCCTACTCCGACCCCGCCATGGGGCTCGGACGCGAGCGTCAAGGCACTCTCGGCGGGGACACCGTGGCGGGCAACGGCGCAGACGCCGCAGAGGCTCCTGGCCCTGTCACACAGCAGCGAGGCGGCCGAGCGGGACGATCCAGAGCGCCCTCGGCGGGGCGACGCTGCTGGACCACGCCCTGAGGCTGGAATGAAGGGGCCCCGGGGCACACAAATGAATACACACACAAATAACAGGATTCCCCATATTTTTCTTTCTTATATTTTCTCGGTTTTGACTTCCCCCCCGCTTCCCATAGTTTCCCATATTTTCCTGGGAGTGGACGATTGATTGTGTCTGTGTTTTCTTCCCTCCTGATGGAGGGCCGACGAAGACGCACGGAGGCGCACGAGAACTCGGACGCAGGAGACGCAGGAGAAGCTTCCAGGACCGACGACGAGGGCGCTCGAGAGACGCGCAGGGCCGTCAGGGGGACGGTTGGCGTCGGCGCAATCGCCGGGACTCTGGCAGCGGGAGCCCCCGAGTGGGCTGTTGACCGTCCCAGGGCCCCGCAAGGGCCCCTGAAGGCAGAAACGTCTAGACGCCTCCCGTCATGCGCTTTCCGCAACGCGAGAAGGCGGGGGCATGTCAGGACACGCTCGTGAGGAGCACGGGGCGGGAACGGCGCCAGCTGCCGAGGATCGTGGCCTCGCCGCACTGCAGCTGCACCTCGCGGCGGCGCGCAAAAGGGGGGCAGGGGGAGGGGGAAGGCTTCTTGGGAGGACGCTGCTGCTCAGAAGCCGCTGGCCCCACACTTATAGCTGAGGTCCACGCCTTCTAAGAGGCAGCCTCCTTTGAGAAGCCTTCTTCCCCCCCCCTGTACTCAACCGCGGCTGTCCGTGGGCCCCGCGAGGGTCCCCCGAGGCCGAAAGTAGCAAGAACTTCGGTGGCAACTCATGGAAGCCTCCCATCTAATCTTGTCGGCTCTTGCGACTCGACGCGGTTCGACGCTAAATCGACGCTAATAGACGTTAAACCGGCGACGATAACCGACGCTAGCCGACGTCAAATCGGCGTGATCTCATCGGTTCCCAGACGCTGGTCGACGCTAGTCGATACTTAAAAAGAATTGCGCGAGGGTACAAAGGCTCCCATGGATTGCTACCGTTAGGTCATGCATGTCATGTCACCCAACAGGCGGATGTTGGAGGACAAATCAAACACACTCGAAAAAATCAAGAAGAAGGGTTAAACAATAGTCAAACAATCGTCCCCCCACTTTCTTAGCTATCTTTGAATACTCCTCCTGTAGAGGGCCGTGGCCGACTCAGGGGCACACAAGGCCCCCATGGCTTGCTACCGAACAAGGAACCTCCCGCCCCGATGTGTCCACGACGCGCGCATGTCTGGGCGCCGCCCTCCGAGCGTGGCAGCACCTCGCCGCTGGTCACGAGCACGTACTGGTCGTACTCTGGCAACTGGCGCAGCCGGCCTGCCGCCGCGACGACCTGCGCTAGGCGGGGGCCCTCCCGCCACCCCACTCTCCTTCTCCTCCTCCTCCTCCTCCTCCTGCTCCTTGTCCTGTTCCAACTCCACCACCGCTACCATCCGTCCTCCTCCTCCTCCTCCATCAGCATCAGTATCAGCATCATAATCAGCATCAGCGTCAGCATCAGCGTCCGCATTATACTGATCATCATCATCATCATCCTCATCATCAGCATCATCATCACCATCATCATCATCATCACCACCACCACCTTCATCATCATCAGCATCACCATCAACAAAAACATCAGCATCATAAGCATCATACGCAACATCATCACCATGTTCATCATCATCATAATCGTCGTCGTCATCATTATCATCAGCGTCAGCGTCGTCATCATCATCGTCATCATCACCATCATCATCATCGACAGCATCATCAGCATCATAATAATCATCATCAACATCAGCATCAGCACCATCATCAGCATCAGCACCAGCATGTGGCAGCAGCAAGCGCAGTAAACGTTTTCCCTTGAGCCAACAAGAGTACGCGTGAGATCCTGACATGCACACTAAATGCAAAACCTGACACAAATCATGCTCACCTGTTTCACAGGTAAGACTTTCTCGCAGGTTTTGCAGCCCCGAAGCGCTAGGCCCCTGTAGCCTGCGCCGTCCGCAGTACGTCCCCTGAGACGACTGCGTAACCCTCTGAGAAGAAAGGAAAACAGGAAAAACATCCTGACACTCTAGCAACAGACTTACTGAACCCTGGCATCGGATGACAAGGCAGAGGTGGAGAGAGAGAAGGGGGAGGAGGAGGAGGGACCACCACCACCACCAACCTCCTGGACCAGGTCTTGAAATTCCTGCCACGTCACCAGCTGCTGGCCTTCTAAGGTCTTCCTGGAGGCGGCCTGGGTCCGGCTCTTGAGTCCTGGCGTCATACGTCGTCGCTCTACCTCCTCGGATTCGTCCACAAGAATCAGCTTCCCACTGATCATGAGGTCGAACAGTGCTGCGTTGCCCTTGGTGATGTCGTCTTTGGTAAGGGCGTCGACCGGCATTCGGCCGTGGGGACTCCAGCGGATCCTCCCCTTTGCCTCTTCCAGGGCAGAACATATGATGGCCATGTCGATGGCCGTCCTCCTGTCCCGGGCGCTAGCGTTGCCCTCCTTCATCATGGTGTCGTAGATACTTTTGGCGTCTACTACGTGGACCTGACGTTCGCGAGAGCCTAGGCGGCAGTCGCTTCGTAGCATGGGCGTAAAGGGTCTGGAACCACGACGGTGGTCCTGCACGTTGACGTCCTGGAAGACTACGTCCCGGCACAGGATTTGTAGGTACTCGACCTCGGCAGTAGCAGCACTGAGAGCTTGGGTCTCGCCGGCGAGGGTCGACGGCACCCTCCTGCGAAGCTTGGAGCTCCGCCAGGACAGCATCGAGGCTCTGACGGCCTGATTGCTGAAAACGTCGGCGTCGGCTGCAAGCACCATCCAGGCTCCCTGTGTCGGGTCGTCGGGGAGGCCTTTGTCGTCCAGCATGTCGTCCTTGGCGCCCACGCCGCCGGCGTCCGAGAAGGAGACGAAGGCCATTCTCTCTGGATCCAGTCTCCGCACCGTCAGCCCACGACAGGCGGTGGACCGGAGGTGGCGGACGAGACGGTTGGCCAACGACACGTCTCAGGTGGTCGGCGCTTTTTATCTACTGGCGAGGATCGAGGCCACTCCGGCCGGCGAAGTCGACCGGGCCCTCGTGGCAGTTCCTGTACTTTCCAAACTTGAATCGGGATTCCAGCGTCTGTCGTAGCCAGCTCCTGGTCGTCGGGTCTGCGCTGGCGATGAAGAGGTCGTCAACTTCGAGGAGAATCATGTTCATAATTTGGCCCCGGGAACCGTACCGCACCCACCAGCAGGGTTCAAGGAGGCTCTTGATGAACCCGTGTTGCTGGAGGAACTTGATTGCCGTACGTCTCCATGCAACTGGGGCGTCGTCCATGCAACTGGGGCGTCGTCCCTTCTGCAGCTCTATGCCTTCGCAAGGTTCGACGTAGATGTCTCCCTGCGACCGCGTCACGGGGTCCGACTGGCAGAACGCATTTTTGACGTCAGTTATGTCCGCCAGCATGCTCAGGTTCATGAGCACCTGGACGAACAACATGATGCTGGTCGTCTGGGGAGTCGGGGCGTAGACCTGGAGAGATCCTGAGTCTGGGTCACGGTGTCCGTGAACACACCAGCGGGATTTGGCCGAGGGCTCCGATCCGGTGCCCTCCACGGGCTTCCAGCGCCGGACCATCCGACTCGAGATGATCCGCTCCGGTTGGGCCTTCCGCACGGCTTCCGCCTGGGAGGGAGGTATGACTTCCACCGCTCCGGTGGCCATCATCGCCTCCCATTCTTTCTTGTCCGCAGCTCGGAACTTCTGTCGTTCATCGGGCGTAAGCTGCTTGAGGCTGACCTCGCCTCCACGGCTGGCAGCAAATGAGCCGCTCCCCGGGGCAATCAGTCCAGTCCAGTCGTCACTGTGATCGCCTAAGACCTGGCTGGCCGGGACCGCCTGGACCCCCTGGGCACCACCACCACCACCGGGGAGGAGGAGGAACTCTTCCATCTCCTGCTCCGCTCCCGCCTGACCCTCCTGCTGGTCGCGAGGCGACCGGCTCCGGCCTCGGACGCGGCCCGTCTCGAAGTCCTGGATGATCTCCGATGCTGGCCTCCTACCCTCGGCCCGAGAGATCGCCGGGCGCTCCCCCCCTTCTTCGCCGCCCGGGGAGGGGAGGGGAGCAGAGGCAGAGGACGGAGCCCGAGGGGCCGGAGCAGAGGCCGAAGGCGGGAGGCCCGGAGGAGGAGAGGGAGAGGAGGGCCCTGAATCTCCGTCGAGGAGTCGGGCTCTCTTGACCTCGGGTGGGCTGCTCGATGCCCTCGACCTCCGGATGCATATGGGCACGTCTTCTGGCTGGACCAGCTTCGTCCTGGGAGTGGGACGACTTGCCTCAGGAGGAGCAGGAGGAGGAGGAGGAGAGGTAGGTGGGTTCTCTGGCCCAACCTCACCCCCGACGGGTCCCGTCTCGGAGTCGGGGTCCGTCACTTGCCTAGAGCCCCCGAACGATGGTCCAAGATCCTCCCCGGACCCCTCCGCGATGGAGGGAAGCCTGGTCCGCTCACTGCCGGCCTGGGCGTCCGCCGACCCCGCCTCCGAGGGGCCCTCGGTCCTCCTGGGGCCTGAGGCGCGGGCTCCCTTGGGTTGAGCGGAGGCCCGACCGCCGAGGGAGGGGGAGGAGGAGGCGGCGCCCCGACATCTTCGGGATCCTGAGCCGACGGAGGGACGGGTCCGGAAGTGCTCGGCGCCTGGGGTCCTGGATCGACGTCGGGCCGGGCTGGCTCGTCCCAGGCCTCGTCTGGAGGTGGTCCCTCCCTTTGCACGTCCACGGCAGCCGCTCTCCTGGTGTGAACCTGGGCCAGGAGCTCCTGCCACTGTGGACTCTGGGCCAGCTGAAGACCGTACTCCTCCTCAGGACTCGCAAGCCTGACTTGTTCAACAGAGCACTTCCAGAGCCTGGCCCGGACAGCCACCCAGACCGTTCCCCTCTCACACAGCACGACCACCCCGGGACCAGTCCAGCAGGCTCTCCTTCGACCGAGGGCGTCCGCCCTCGACGACGTCCTGCTGAGGTTCCGCCGCACAAACACCCACTGGCCAGGAGTGAACTCCTTAAACGCAGGTCCCCGGGCCCTCGAGGCACGGCTTACCCAGAGGTCCTGGGCGACCATATTTTGGTCGCCATGATCATGGCGACCATTAATGGTCGCCAACATCATCAGCGATCATTTATGATCGCGTTATGTTTGTGTTATGTTGAAATGAGGCAGCGTTGCCTCCACTGCGGCTCAAAGTTTGAGAACCGCTACGCGATGCGGTAGCGCAGTTCATAGAAACGCGCACAGCGCTGCAAAGTACGAATAACGAGCGGCGCTGAGGAGGAAACGGAGGAGTGGAGAAGGAGGAGTTGAAGGAATGAAGAGGAGGCTGAGGCGTTGAATTGGGAAGGGAGAGCGGCGGCTGGTTCTGCAAGGAAACAAGGGCGTGCTATAGTGGAGTGGGAAGAAACGGTAGGAGGAATACGATGAGGAGGAGCAGGGTGAGTTTCCGTTTATTCCTCATCCTTTTCTTCCTCCTCTTCTTCCTCCTCATCCTCATGTTCCTCTTCCGCCTGCTCTTCTTCCTGGTGCTCATCCTCCTCGTCATCCTCATGTGCTTGCCGACCTCCTGCTGTTACTGCTGCTGCTGCTGCTGCTCTCTTCCTCCACATCCTCCTGCTCCTCCTCCTCCTCCTCCGATCCCCTCTCCCCCCCCCCTCCTCTGCGCTCTCCTCCGCCCCTCCGCCCTCCTCCCCGCCCCCCCCCCCCCTCAGCATTCACGCGGCGGCTCAGGGAACGCATGATCCGATAGCTTGGTCAATCTCTAGCCCCAGACGTTTGGCCACAGAGGCGCGCCCAAAAAATTGGGGGGCGGAGGTGATTCGCCGCAGAGGCGTCTTCTATATAGCAGGGAAACGACACCAACAACATGCGAAACGGGAAATTCCAGCATAACGTTGCCAGCCAAATAATGTTGGAGAAGCGATGCCCACCGGCCTCGAAACCATCTGTGCCTCTTGGGGTTGCTTGGCCCACGGCGTGTTCATTTTCATTTTTCTGGGGGCCACGAGCTGGCGCGCCTACTCGTAACCCTCTGGCCCACCACGAATGGGGGCAGAAAGATCTAAGCCAGGGGGATCGCGCAGCCACGACCCCGCACCGCGCGGGCTGTGAATGCTGCTAGTGGAGCTCACGCCGCGCTGGCCATGATATGGGAAGATTCCGAATAACAATGCCAGTGGACGATGCATCTGCACTGGGTCGGGGACGAGGGGGGGCTGACATATCGAAGCTGAGATGTCGGCCGTCGGCGGTCAGCATCTCCACTTCGTCACGTCCGAGTCCGTTTCATTCGACCCCCCCGACTGAGTCCCCCGCCCAATGGCGATGCA